GCTGATCAGAGTAATAACAGCACAGAGACACCTGCTCCTGTGAGTACGGCCCTGATTACAATATCACTGCTGATCAGAGTAATAACAGCACAGAGAAACACCACAGAGACACCTGCTCCTGTGAGTACAGCCCTGATTACAATAACACCACTGATCATAAATAGCTTATTTATTTTATTGTTACACTATATCCCACCGATGAACCCTTCCTTAGAAAAATATTTATGTCTAGAAGATCTTGTCTTTCTACAGACAATGAGCACATTTCTGTATTAGTTATTTTCATAAGGGCTGATAAGGGTGAAAGAGCTCCTGACTAATTCCCCCAGAATCAGAGGCAGTCCGGCCTGAGCGATCAGGCTGAAGAGTCCCTCTCTCTCCCTCCTGCCACCTTCCCTCTCGGCCCAGCTATGACCACCTGGCGCGGGTGCTGTCCAGGGTGCTGTCGGAGCGGCCCGAGAACGCGGCGGACGTGTTCCAGGAGCTGAGCGGCGAGGCCAAGCGGGCGGCGCTGCGCCAGCGGCAGGGCAGCCTGCGCGACGACCCGCCCCCCCCCGCCGCGCTGCAGCTGGCCCAGGAGCAGAGGGCGCTCTTCCAGCGCGGGGGGGGGGACGAGCCTGAGCACGAAGAGGAGCTGGTGAGTGGCGCGGGGAGGGGGCGGGGCTGGGCTCCACACCTGCGGACTCCGGCACCAGGCCCTCCTGAACGTGTCCACAAGCACACAGGACGGGAGGCGAAAACGAAAAAGCAGGCTACTTCAGTCAAGCATCATGCCTGATTGACATGGAATATTGCTCCTTAAGGACTGTGAGCAACACAGCACCATAATGTCATGTTAATTACCAAAGCGCTTTATGCCGTACATTGTCACGGGGAGCAACCAGCGCAAGGCAGGGCACGCCCTGGAGGGGGCGCCAGTCCACCGCAGGGCCAGTGCAAGCCAATCATACACGGGGACCACGGGGAGGCCACAGTAAAGGCCGAGGGGGGAAATTTGGCCCGGACACCGGATATCTCCCTACTCTTATCGAGAGATGCCCGGGGATCTTTAATGACCACTGGGAGTCAGGACCTCGGTTTAACATCTCATCCGAAAGACGGCGCCCACTACAGTGTAGTGTCCCCGCCACTATACTGGGGCATTAGGACCCACACAGACCGCAGGGTGGGCGCCCCCCACACAACACCATAACAGTCATGTGAAATAAAAAGCTCATATGTTTTAAGTATCTTGATTGTTTCATTAAATTGTTTCATTTTAATTAGAAATATGATATCAGTGGTGTCAGGTTATGATTAACTCCTTGTTACAGACATGTATTAACACATCACCAGCTTGCATCCACTCTCCCTCTCTGTTCCCCCCTTCCTCACCCTCTCGCTCTCTCCCTCCCTGCCCAGGTGGAGACGCCCCTGCCCAACGTGGGCGAGCTGGCCTTCTTCCTGGAGCAGGCGGGCGTGGGCCTGGGCCGCGAGGAGATGCAGCGGGTCTTCCTGGCCCTCAAGCAGCTGGTGGACACCCAGCCCCTGCAGCGCTGCCGCTTCTGGGGGCGCATGCTGGGCACCGAGGGCAGCTACCTGGTCGCCGAGGGGGAGTACCGCGAGGGCGAGGAGGAGGAGGAGGAGGAGGGGGTGGAGGAGGGAGAGGAGGAGCAGAGGGAGGGAGAGAGCAGAGAGGAGGAAGATGACGCCGAGGGCCAGGAGGAGGTGAGTCAGGTGCCTTCTGGGAGAGCGACGTGTCTCTCGGGGGTCCTGGTTCAGGACGGTGTTGGCTGTGGAGAGCCTGGAGCTCAGAGCTCTAGGGCTGCTGCAGTCCGGTCCTGAAGGACCCCTCTGTCAGTGTTCCCTCCAGCTGGGCTCTCCCTGATCCCTGTCTTGGAACAGGCTGCACCCCCAGACCTTTCTGACCTGCTCCTGTGCTCAGCCTTAGCTTTCAGAAACACTGTTACTAGCGCTTTGTCAGAAGGAAATATAGCAAACCAGAATTAGCCCCATCTCTTCCTAACTTCCTTAGTAAGAGATCGCTGTCCCATTTCTGTCAAGACTGGTGACTGGTTTATGAGAAACATACATGGGTGCAAATGGCAGTGTTATCGGGCACCCCCACACTCTGTGTGCTGCAGACATCCCACACAGCTGAATGAGGGGAGCTGGGGATCCTGATGCTGTCTAGGGTTAATAAGCATCCAACCCTCTTGTGTGTCTTAATCCAATAGACACCAATTATCCCATGTGATAAGAGCTCAGCCGGAGTGAAAAACAGGCGCCACAGAGTCCTGCAGGACCAGAACTGGAAAATACTGGACGTGGTGCTAGCATGGAGCTCAGGACGAACTCCAGCGTGGGCCTTGCATTAACCAGGACGCTGGGCTATCCTTGCCTTGCACTAGTAATTCCTGGGGCTTACCAAGCTCCTGACAGCCTGCAGTGCTGTCCGAGAGAGACATGGCTCTCCTTCCACCTTTAGAGTGGACTGTCTATAATGTGCGGCACCCCTCCCCAATTCTGTCTGCTCACGTAGTTCTGCCAATAGAATCATAACGAGCAAATTAGGCACAAGCTTCTGTGACAGCATATTCTAATGCTTCTGACACTGTTAATACCGCAGGTTTTATTATTCTGTTTTCCATTGTGATTATTTCCAACCCTAGATCGACCCACTCCCCAAGTCCACCTACAAGCCTCCCCCTGTGGTCCCGAAGGAGGAGAACCGGACCGGCGCCAACAAGTTCTCCTACTTCGTGTGCAGTGAGCCGGGCCGGCCCTGGGTCCGGCTGCCGCCCGTCACGCCCGCCCAGATCACAGCCGCCCGACGGATCCGCAAGTTCTTCACCGGGCGCCTGGACGCACCTGTCGTCAGCTACCCGCCTTTCCCTGGCAACGAGGCCAACTACCTGCGTGCCCAGATCGCCCGCATCTCGGCGGGCACGCAGGTCAGCCCACTTGGCTTCTACCAGTTCGGGGAGGAGGAAGGCGAGGAGGAAGAGGAGGCGGCCAGGGAAAGTTTTGAGGAGAACCCAGACTTTGAGGGCATCCCCGTGCCTGAACTGGCCTCGTCGCTGTCCACCTGGGTACACCATACCCAGCACATCCTGCCCCAGGTACCACACTGACACACTGTCCAC